CAATTTTGCGGTGTCATTTTTCAAATGTGGAGCCAAGCACCCGATGGTCCACTCTTGCGAATGGGGGATCTTGAACGGCACGTGGTCTTGTCACACTCGCGGTATTAATCATGGCTGCTTTGGATCGAACCGTAAGCCTCTGCAACGAGCCGCCAATGCGCAATGTCAACAATCGGTTCGATGGATTGTCACGACTAGGAGTCATTGTTGGAGTCAATAACCGAGTCAAATTTGTGTCGTTTTTTCCCCTCTCATTTGTATCGTTTCTCATTCCCTCCCATCGCGTTTGTACTGTCTCGTTTGCACCATTAGCTCAAGTGTAAAATGAGCATGCGCTTTGAATGCGCTTTGCATGTGTCGTGAGACGTAATTTCTCACTCGTGTGATCCGTCGACGCGTGAAACGGGAGCATTAGGTTTCGTTTCAATCGAAGGATCTCCGCATTGTAGTAACGTGCCCAGCAATGGCATCACCACGTTCATATTTCATCATCATCAGGAGTATCATCAACGTGCCCTGCCTTCGTGTGACCTGCGCAGGCTGATGGAGCAGTGGATTTACCGTGGCTCATGATGATCATGATGATGGGAGGTGGGGAAGGACATCGCCTAGCCGTTTTATGTGCACCACTTGTTCACGGTTACAATCCAGCGGCTGCCCTGGTTAATACCACGGATGCGTCAACCGCACAAATACACGCGTCGTGTGCATCACGGTGGACGTTAAAGATCCATGTGATGTCATTGGCAAGAGTAACCCATCGTGTGCCAGTGTCAGGGTCAATTGGAAGCTATGTAGCAATCATCGCCCCCCTACCTTCAAACAAAAAACTAAGACTAAGCTATTTAGATTTTACCTGGTAAGGTTCACTGAGCTATAAAGCTCTTTTTCAGCAGTGATCTGGCCGCAAATGATAGCTCAACGAAGTGGCTTGTCATGTGGAGCCAAACACTCTTAAACGCGTATTTCTAAATGTGGAAGGAAAAACCAGAGGACCTGGAGGAATATCCACGCGACCACGGGGAGAGAGACACGCAAACTCCAAACAGACAGGTATCAGGGTCGGGATCGACCCACGTCCTGCATACCAGGCGAGGTAGTTAACATCTTGCAACTTGTTAACAATTTGGCAGGACCCTCCTGACAACGAGTAATGGGGCCTACGTGGGGTAAACAAGCGGAGTAACAGCAATGATGATGCGGACGATGAGTCCGGCGGGGTGCGAGCGCCCGCCCCCCTTGCTGCGTGCCGAGGTCGAGGACGCGCCGCTTGCGTGCACCGAGGAACGCCGCCACCGCCGGCTCGGCTCGCGCCGCGGGGCGGACGGTCCGGCGCGGTGGCGGCGGCGGCGGCGAGGGTTCCCCCGCGGGGGCGGGCGCCGTCTCCGTGATTTACGGCCTCTCGCGGACTGCCGCGTTGCTTCTTCGTCTCCTCGCCCGCACCGCGGTTGGAGCTGACCTTCCCGTCACACGTGCACTCCGTTGTTTTGGTTACCCCGGGGCCTCCCTTGAAAGTGACCCCCTTATTCTCAGCAGGCTCTCACCTGGTTTAAATAAAGTTTCCTCCCCCGCCCCTGTAGCGTGCGGGCTTTGGAGTGGACGTTAAAGACTCGGCGAGTAAGCACGGGTCGCCTTGCGTTAGTGTCACAGCCCCAACGTGTTAAGTTTGAAATTTGCTGTAAACCAATTTACGAAAACCCTTCGCCGACCCCCCCTCCCGGTGACTACCGTGGTGAAGTATGGTCAAACACTCTCTGATCAACATGAGAGTGGATAGTCAAAGCGCTGTAAAATAAAGAAGATGTTACGATGAGTTTATTACAGCTGCTTCGGTGTTACACCTCAGGCCTTGATCCTGAAACTGATGTTGTATTTGGTGCTTTGAGTTTATAATTAAATAGTTTTGTCACTATCACGGTTAAAATGTGCATTTGGCTAAACGGTGTGATCCGTCATCGGCAAAACGATGCCGACAAGTTGTGGTTTGATCGCCAGCGCGCGCGCCGACGTGCCGTCGCGGCCACGGCACGGCACGGTGTTCCCGGGCGAGAGTCGCGACCTCGCTCACAGTTGCGGCCGTTAACCGGTGCCGGCAAACCCGGCCGACGTCGCTATTCATCAATTACTGCGGCCCCTGCGGCACCGCGGCAGAGCGCGCTCCTTCACGGCTCGGAGCACTGCTCGGCGAGAGCGGGAATTTCTCGTCTCTCGTTGCCCGACTGCTGCTGCTGCTGCTGCCCGGGCCTCCGTGATGTCACCCGGTTTCGCCGGGCGGTGGGAGGGATCGCGGATAAGGAGCGCGCCGCGGCACAACAACAGCCTTTGTCTCCGCGGGCGCGAGCGCTGTTTGTGTACCTACTCGTTCTGGGATTGTCACGCCCACCCTTTGTAGTAATCCACACAGAAGCAGGACTCGGGACTCCTCTCTCTCTGTCTCCATCCTTCATCCACACCCCCATCCTCCTAAGAGAACCCAGCTCCCCCCTCCACCTCCCCCCTCTGCCCCCCACCTCCTTAACCCCCCCCCCCCCATCGCTTTGCAATAAAAACTGGAGCCACAGTTAGTCATCTTTGGCTTCTCGCTTGCCCGCTCTTTGTGTGCGCAATAAACTGTGCGTAAGGATCATTATGCCCGTACCCTCTCTCTTTGAGATTAACGTGCCGGCGCTTTGTGTCTCTCTGACCGCAGGGAGCTGGAGGATTTTTTTGGTAGCGACGCTGCTGAATGGACTGGCGCTGTGCCGCTCTTTATTTCTGGCTAATAGGATTAGCCGGCCGAGGAAGGGCTCGGCGGCGAGAAGGCTGCAAGGGGAGGGGGGGGGAGTGCGGGGGGCTCCGTGTCCCCTTCCACCCCCCATCCCCCACGTTACCTCCCCCCCCCCCCGGGTGCCGGGGTTCGCGGGGGAGGCGCACGAACGACCGCTCGGCGTGAGAGCGAGCCGGCCGGCATGCCGAAGCGGCCCGAGCCTGGTGGGTGGGGTGGGGGGGAGCGGCCGTGCTCGCTGCCACGGATCTCCCAACGCGGCTTTGGGTGGCGCCGCTACGCGCCTCGTCGTTTCACTCCTCGTGCTGAGGGCTGCTTCTAGCGAAACGTCGGACGTCGCGCCGAGCGCCGTGGCCGACCGGGCCGTAGAGTTGCAAGAGGCCGTGTCTGGTGCTGTCGGAAGAGAACGTTACAGCCCACGCCACGAGCGGCAGCTGTGGCCACCGCCCCGACATTTCCGTGTTTTGACACCATATTTAAACGTAGCGCTTCGTAAAAAAATACTTTTAATTGGCTACTTCTCCGAGGGTAACGATCCCCACCCTCACTTCGCCACCCCCCCCCCCCAACGTGATTTGATGAGCTATCACGATGCAGTGATTCTCGTCGTCTGATTCTTTTCTGATCTCTTTACAAGCACTGATAATCACTAATCGATCTTCACGCATTGATACGTATACTGTTGGCATAACAATCAAAGCAGTGCACCGCTATGTGCCTATTGTTCACATGCTTTTGCTTGCTGGGTTTGCTGGTTGCCAGTTGCCGGTTACTGAGTTTGCTGGTTGCTGACTTTGCCGGTTACTGAGTTTGCTGGTTGCTGAGTTTGCTGGTTACTGAGTTTGCTGGTTACTGAGTTTGCTAGTTGCTGAGTTTTCTGGTTGGTGAGTTTGCTGGTTACTGAGTTTGCTGGTTGCTGACTTTTCTGGTTGCTGACTTTGCTGGTTACTGACTTTGGTGGTTGCTGACTTTGCTGGTTACTGACTTCGCCGGTTGCTGAGTTTTACCGGTTGCTGAGTTTGCTGGTTGCAGAGTTTGCTGCTTGCTGAGTTTTACCGGTTGCTGAGTTTGCTGGTCACTGGTTGGCAAAGTCGGTGCTTGCGTCATCAAGAGGCGAGGAATTCAGCGCTCTTCCGTTTCTCAATCACCGAGCAGCAATCGATCGGTCGGGTCCCCTCTGCTCTCTTCCCAGAACCCACATTGACGACGCATTTCTTTGTTTCACCGTAGGGGAGAGGGGGCGGGGGGACAAATGCAGCTACGTCCTCGTCCTGTCCCTTGCAAGTACCCGGCCATGTCAACCAAGTCTGGGGAGACCAAAGCTGCAGCTCGCTGGCCGAATCGTCACGACCCCGGCCAACGCGTGACTGCAGTTACACTTCACATAGCATCGACACACATCCATTTATTTATTACATTTTCTTGTGTACGTATCTTGAACTTCGTTCGCGCCGTACGTAGCCGACCGTGCTAATCGGAGGTGCGGGATCCGCTGCTCTTAATCGTGTAAAGAGAGTCGCTAAATACAAAGCGCGGAGATCCCACTGGTGGTATTGCGGCGACGCGCATTTACGCGGCAGCTCTGAACCGGTGGCACGTCGCCGGGCTCAGCTTGCGCCAAGGCCCACGCGAATTTTTATTAAAAACGCAGCAACCAAGAGAAATGCGGCGTTGTTCTGCGTCAGCTGAGAGCCCCATAAGTCTCCTTTTGCCATGGAGACCAGCGCTAAAGTTCCTTCTGTTTATTTCTGTAATCCTATTACTGCATTCACTGTAAATTCTAATTAATGTCATCTTTTACATTCCTTCGTCATTGCACTTCTAGATAAAGGCCTTCCTATCTCGTGTCAGTCATGGGGTTTGTTTCACCATACTTCACCACACTGGTCAGTGCGGGTTGGTGAAGGTTGTGGCCCAAGACCGGTTCCGATTCCACTCGCCAGCGGTGTTAGCCACCTGCCAGGAATCGAACTCGGATTGCCGGTTTCACAAGCTCATCGCGCTAACCACTGTGCTACCGATCCTCCCCATGCGTGGAGTCGAATTGGTGCTCGCAGGCGTTGCACCGCATCACGCCGCCACTGCCGCCGCCGCCGCCGCAGAGCGTTGAGCCATGCGGGTGGGGAGCGAGGGTCAGCAGCGCTCCACGGCTTCGCGCGACACTCCCCCACGGCTTCCTTTACAAGGGCAGCTTGGAACCCCCTCAGTCCAGCGCCCGCCCGCCCGCCTGCCCGCCAGCGCTCGCCCCCGCGTCCGCGATGAACCTAACCAAGCGGCGATGTAAGTTCATCCCTCCGGCGGCCCTCTCCGTTGCTCGCGCGGCCCCCTGATTGTGAGCGCTATTCTTTAAAGGGCCATTTCCTTTGGCCACGGGGGATTCGCGCTGGGCTTTAGACGTGGCCGGCAGCAGATGGGATTACGTGTCATTACATTCTCGCCTCTGTTTCTGCCGCTCATCTCTGAATAGCTCCACACTCGCTTCATTTCTCTCCTTTATCTTATTCTGCGCTTTTATTGCCTGGGCGCCAGAGAGGCAGCGTGGGGCGGGCGAGCGGGCGGGCGAGCGGGCGGGCAGGCGGGAGGAGAGCGAGGGCGGGGGGGCGGCGCGAGCGGTCCGAGCCGAGCGAGCGAGCGCACGAGCAAGCGGGGCGGGACGAAGCCGCCCGGCGTACCCGGCGCGGCCCGCCCGAGATTTGCGCGATCAATCAGTGAGGGACTATGGCCATTCTGCCGCCCAACAGGTGTTGGGAGCCGCTGTCTCGCAAGGCAGCTGTCCCTATTTTACACGCTCGTTATTTATTTATTTACTCGAGCATTCTCTAATCACGGTGGCTGACCGCCCCCAACCCCCCTTCCTCCCTCTCTGCCAGCAGATCGCAGCCCCCCCCACCCACCCTGCCCCAACCCCTTGAACGTCCGGGCAGGTGATGACCTCTCGGAGCGTCGTTGCGCCGGCCAACTCGTCACAGCGACCGACCCCGCTCGCTCCCGACGCTGCCCCCCCCCCAACTCTCCGCTCCCCTGCCCCCCCACCGACTGCATCACGTCTCCCCCGCCCCGCCCCTACGCAAGTCATCACTGTGTGCCTAAGGACGTCTTACGCTGCTGCTGCTGCTGATCTGCCTGGAGGCCGCCCTGGGTAAGTGCTTTATTAAACACAGGCAGGCGGCATTTATCTGACAGCTCCTCCTAAACGATGCTGCCGTGATTGAACCCACTGACTGCGGCTGCTTTGAAGCACCCCTCCCTGGCCCCCCCTTCTCCCCCCCTTCAGGCCCCCCCCCCCCCTGCTCCGGCATCTGCTCCGGCTGGACGGCTGCCGAGACGTGTAATGTTTTAGGGAAGGAGTCTGGATATTTTATTCATCGCGGCCTGTTATTACCGCCGTGCACAAACATCGCGGTGTGCTAAACGCACAAACGGTCTCTTCATTATCCATTTTTTTATTTTTGTGACGGGAGATTAAAAGCCGTCACTGCACCGCGCGGCCCTGCGCAGAACGAGCCCAATTATTGTGTTAAAAGCATTCTTGCGGTGGTCGAGCTGATCCCGGGGAGGCTGTGACAGCGGAGACGCGGCGCGATCGCACGTGGGGGCCCACAGCGATGGAACCGGTCCTCTCGCGTCGCGCTGACGCCACGACGCTGCCCCCCCTGCCGCCGCCCACCGCCCCCCCCTCCGCCCATGAGCGCGCCTGACAGCCCGGCTCGTGTGTCGACGTGGATCGCAACGTAAACAGAGACAAAGACTCCCCAACCCCATGTAGTCGTGCGGATCGCCGGGGAGAGTGGTGTTAGCGAGCACCTATTAAGGTCGGCACGGCGCGCTCGTCTACAGGCCCCAGTCGACCCAGGGGAGCACCGGAGAAGGGGTTTTGGTATCACTTGATAGGTTAGTCACGGACGGGAATTGAACTCGCTTCTCCTAATGCGTTGTGAAAACCACTGCCCCACCGCTCCCACAGACTATATATAGATACAGACAAACATCCCCCGTGTAGCCAAGTAGACTCTTGGGGCAAGGGTTGTTGGCGAGCACCTATTAAAGCCCGCATGGCACACGATGGGGCGGTGTGGTCAGCACCACGCGCATCCCAGTGCCGAGGTTTTACTCGCGGCACCATGTACTTCGTTTGAGGCTGAGTTGACCTAGGGGTTGACCTAGTTTTTCTCTCCACGTTTAGAAACGTGCGTTCAGAGTGTTTGGCTGCTACTACAAATTTCTACACGATGATGAGCCACTTCGTTGAGCTGTCATCTGTGAAGGCCAGGTCGCCTCTGAAGAAGATCCATGTGGCTCAGTGGGCCTTACCTGGTAAAATACAAATAGTTTAGTTTAGATGTTAACACACACACTCACGTACGCACACTCACATGTACACACGCACACACGCACGTGCGCGCACGCACGCTCGGAGGAGGGGCGGACATGCAGTTTGAGGAGACACTTAAGGAAGTGGCGCACGCCTAATGTGCTTTTGAAGTCCCATCACCAAGGAGTTGCGATCTTACCGCGCGAGTCATCCCACTACACACACGCACGTGATTTATGTGTCACCCATTGTATAAATCAGTCATTGTTTGCTCGTGCGCTTTACATTTTTCCCAACTCTCCACTTAAAAAGTAAAACGATAATAAACCATTGCCTCCGTGGGCTCTCGCCCGCTTACAAGTGAAGGGTTTCTTGGAGTAGCTGCTGAGCGTTGGTGGGTCGCAGGGGGGGGGTTATTCTCCAACGCGCCCGTGCCGCTATCGGCGACGCTCCCTCAGCCCTTGTGCGTGGATACCCAGCGTCTGATTTTGTTGTCTTGCATCGTCCGATTTTTTTGTCTAAAACTTTCCAGTGTCTCCATCGCCGACGATGCTCTTGCACTCCGTCAGCCCGAGTGGGCCAGCGCTGTCGGTCAACATCGCTCGTTTGGGTCGCAAAATATTCCAGCTAGTTTTGACTTCTAGATTTGAAGTTTTCGTGACTGCAATCTCATACTCTTTGGTTCTTTCGGTAAAGTCACGTAGGTGAAAATAATAATAAAATATAATAAAAAGAAAAAAGTTAATTTAGTTGTTTTCACTTTTTTTTAACCTACGTGACTTTACCTAAAGAACCAAAGAGTATAGTTTTGACTTCCCCGAGTCTCATCAGCAGGCTGTGTGTCCTGTTAAAGAAGTGTTGCGGCGTTGCCTGTAGTTTTAGGCAGAATTCGTGCGTGATCACTCCGAAGTGAGTGCAGTTCAGCAAATGTTCTGTGTGAGAGGCAGACTCTGAGAGGGCAGTTGGTCAGGGTGAGAGGCGACGGAGGGGCATTTCCACGATTTTCGACGTCAGTGTCAAACACCCTTCAGATGTTGGACACCCATTAATATCATTGTGAAGTGTTCTTCGTTACCTGAGTGTTTCAGGAGATCTGTAAGTCTAAATAAATCAAAAGTAAATAGGGCTCATAAAATCCCACGGTGTCGGAAGTATGCGGACGGAGAATTCAGACCGGGATGGTGACGGTGCATTCATTACCATGTACGTGTCAAACCTTTGACGCAGATTCTTAAACTCGAGATAATTACCCTCAAAATGACTCTCCGGACGATTATTGAAGTTTGCGAAGTTGCGCAAATTTTGGCACTGCTCAACAGTGTTTCCCTGGGCGTCATTTCAGCGGGGTCGGCCATATAGAAGAAAATATTTCCGCACCCGGCTCACCACGTCCACTGTACACCTCTCACTCTGGCTGTGGCTCCTCCGAGTCACGTGCCTGCTGCAGTCGACGAGCGAACGGGGAGACACGTGAGCGAGAGAGCCCAGGGCGTCATGGCCCCTCGTACGAGCACGCGCACAAACTCACTGTACGGCGACGACTGCAGCGCCGCTATGGTCCTCGACTCATTCCGCGCTCGGGGGAGAGTGATGTCATCGGCAGTTTTGAGATTATCGAGGAAATCGCTTAATGTGAGTATTAAACAATCACTTGAGTTAAGGGCCCAGTAATCGACTCCCGTTTTGTTTTACCTGCCGTGCGTTAGATTCGCGCAGGGCAGCGCGTCGCCCATTGCTCTCAAAGCAAATAAAAAAAATGCGCTCGCCAATCAATGCTCTGGCTCCACGTACAAATAACATGTGTTTTAGTTCCTCCCCTATTACAAGCTCGCTCTGAGAAATATGTAATAAAATTGGATTTTAAAGAACCAATAGCACCAGCATCGTTCCTGATATGGCTCGAGAGTTGATCTCCGGAGACAGGGGGCAGCGTGACGACCGCGGGCCACTTCCCTCCTGCTTCTACGCAACTCTGCGAGCGAGCAAAATTTAATTCGGTGCCTCCCTGGCCTCGAGTTGCGATGACTCAGAGAGCACGGGTGTCAGCATGTGCCGGCGCGACTGTGGAAGGCTCAAGACCGCGACGACGACGATGATGACGATGACGACGACGACGATGACGGCGGCGAGGGTAAAACGTGCGGGAGCCGCGCGACGCCTTCGACTTTGGGGCCCGGCTCCCGGTGTCCAGCGCCGGCTTAGCAGATACAACACGGGATTAGTGTCGTCAACACGGAACGAGAACACCCCCCCCACCATCCTTAAACACCACCCCCACCGCTTCCCGTGCCCATCACCCCCTCCTCCTCCCTGGGGCTGCCGGTCGTGGCTGCTTCTTTCCGCTCCCTGCTTGGTGACAAAGCCTTTAATGAAGCGTAATTGGCTCCCCTCCCTTTAAAAGTACGAGGCGCTGGGGTAATTTGCACGGGCTGGGGGCTATCCCTCCCTCCCTCCCCCCCCACGTCCTCCCTCGCTCGCGCGCGCCTGCCGGCCGGTGCGGATTACGCAGATGCGATGTGAGAAGGTAATCCCCGCTCGCCTACGTGCCGCCCGTAACTCCGCCACAGATACCGTGGCTGGCAGTGCCCCTCACCTTCACCCCCAACCTCCCCAACCCCCCCAACCCCCAACAGGGGGGGTTGGGGGGGTTGGGGGGCCATTCCCTTACCCTTTCTCCTCAGCGTTTGCTGTCCTGTAGCTCTCGCCGCCCACGCGCGTGGTGGCTACGGAGAATTTCCCAGGGGCAGATCGTGAGTTGGTGTTTCGTTCCAGGGGCCTATCATCTCTCTCGGGCTCGTGAAATGACTACCGCTTTGTGAGACGCCAACCAACAGTGGCTGTCCTATGGGAGGTCCGGGCACCATCCTAGATGCTTGAAACGTTGAGGATCGCACCACCGGCTCGGGGCGGCCAGTGGAGGTGGGCCGCAACTTCGTTCCTTCTAACGTTACTAATTCCAAAGTCTCGCTGGCGCTGCTGATCACGACCGGCGATCGTGCCGGGACGATGCTGTTCCGCACCGTACCGCGCCCGATCGGTCCGACAGGACGCCGGCGCGCTCCGACGCTGCCGCGCATCTGCTTCCAATAACGCTCCTTCCGCCTCGCGTCATGCCGAGCGTTTAGCGCCGGCTGACCGGCAGCAGGCACCACGACAGCGGATTAGTCCGCCCGGGCTCGGAGCGGGCACAGGCGCACGGGCACAAGACTCGCCGCTGTAGAACGGGGCGTGCGCGGGGGAAGGGGCTGGTGCCGGGTGGCGCTGGCGTGTTAGCTATCGTGCGAGGGCATCGCCGGGGCGAAACCAGAACCACGTGCCGGTGCCGCCGTCGCCAGGCCGGGCTTTGCGAGGCGGAAACGCTGGCGCACGCTCGTGGTGTCCACGTGCTGCGCAGGGACGGCAGAGGCGAGGGGTGGCCCAGTACCACGGCGGCACACGGCGGCTCATGCAGCAGCTTCATGACTACAGTGAACACTGCGGTGCCCGCGACTGAATGAGCCAGAAGCTGCCACGGTGAATGACCCGGTGCCTGCCACAGCGAGCTTTTTCAGGAACTCGATTGAGCAGCTCACTCTCTCCCTGGATTATTTCCCGTTATTATTGTTATTACTCTACGTGTTTATAAATCGTTTAAACGCGACGGCATCTCATTACGCGTGCATTTAAATGTTAATTATCGCAGTGCGGTGGATAAACGCCGTGTGTGGAGATGATCCCTAATGAAGTTTACGTTGGAGAAGATTGGTTAATTGCTCGTGTCGTGTCAGTATTGCTGATGAGCGTAAACACAATCTGCGTGTTTGTTTAGCGGGCTGAAGGGCATGCCG